TTCTTCTTCTTCTTCTTCTTCTTCTTCTTCTTCTTCTTCTTCTTCTTGTAATCTACCCTTTTTAATCCTCACATCTATAAAACCACAAGTTCATTTTTTTGTTGTTGTTTCGAGAAAGGAAGAAAAAAAATTCCACCAGGGCTTCCAGTCACCAATGCATGAATTCTTCTCCTTTGTCTAGTAAGCTGTTGATCCAGTTCTACAGAGGAATTATTGAGTTTGTCATCTGCACCCCTATAACTGTCTGGTTTGATTCTGCAACCCAACAGGACAGACACAGACTGCAGAGAGTAATTAGGAGTGCAGAAAAAACCATGGCTACCAACCTGCCTTCCATGGAGGATCTGTATCCTGTGAAAATATCTACAGATCCCTCACATCCTGGACACGAACTGTTTCAACTCCTACCCTCAAAATGACATTATACAGAGCATTGTTGCACACCAGAACAACTAGACATAAGGACAGTTTTTTCCTGAATGCCATCCCTCTGCTAAACAAATAATCCCCTCAACACTGTCCAACTATTTACAAAGTCTGCACTACCCTTACTATTAATCTTCTCATCACTCCTTATCGCCCATCCCCTCCCAGTTGTGACTTTATCAGTGGTGGGATTCAAAAATTTTTACTAGCAGTTCTGTGGGCGTGGCTTGGTGGGCGTGACAGGGGAAGGATACTATAAAATCTCCAGTCAGAAGTGGCATTTTCCGGTTCTCTGAACTACTCAAAATTTCCACACCAGTTCTCCAGAACTGGCCAGGACCTGCTGAATACCACCTCTGGACTGCATGCCGGTAACTTTGTCACTTGTATCCTTACGATTTATATTGACTGTTTCCTCGTATGATTTGATTGCTTATTTGTACCCTATGTCTATTATTAAGTGTTGTACCTGATTATTCTTGACTCTTGACAAATGTATCTTTTCTTTTTATGTGCACTGGGAGCATTTGCACCAAGACAAATTCCTCGAGTGTCCAATCATACTTGGCCATTAAAGAATTCATTCGTTCATTCATCCATACAGCGAGTCCATTTCTCCATCTCTGCCAATGTCCTCATCTTCACCAGCCACCAGTCCATGGTTGGGCGGGGGGCATCTAATAATCTTGGGAAAGACTCATTTAGAGGCTGCAAAAAAAGCCTTTTTGTTGGTTGGTGATTTTGTCTGAGGCCACAGGACAATCTTTGTCCCAATTTGCTATGCCAAACCACAAACAATCCAGGTTTCTTGGTCTGGGCCAGTTAGGGGAACCTGTTGCCTGTTAACACTGAATGCTTTTGGTGGGGGGGGGTGATTTATTTGTTTGTTCAATTTCTCTAATCGCTCATTGCTCAATGAACAATCCCAGGGAGGGAGTTTCCAATTCAGAAGATACTGTCAACTCACCAAATATTTCTAGGGGCTTTTTAGAGTGGCCAACGGAAAGGGAGGGGAGGAAAGGGGTTTGAAAGAGCAGTGCGGCAGCTTGGAAACCAAAAGTGCATTCCATAAATGTTTTCAAAGATAGTAACTAGGTGACTGAAGTTTCTGCCGCGCAAAATTCTAACTGGAGAGCTTGATTGATGACTCTGGGCTATGGAGGTGTCCCATTGGAGAATATGAATTGAGATACACCCAGGGGGTGGGGGGAAAACCAGGGTCAAGGATGACAAAGAATGATGTGCTTCAGAGTCACCCAGGCAGTGCCGGACATGTTAACTCCCAATAAATCCTTTTGAAGTTCTGGAAGTTTGGCTCGAGGCTCATGATTTAAATGGGGGGGTCACTGCCGGAATCCTGACACATACATTGCAATTAAAAATTAAAAATGAAATATGTGGTTTTTTTTCCAAGACACTTTTTAATGTCTTATTTATTATGAGGATTTTTTTTCTTTTAAAAAAAAAATGTTTTAGTGTTTCGCCTTTTAACTTTCCTGGAATAAACTAAATATTATTACAGGCAATCCTCGACAAACATCCATAATGGAGCCCAGCATTTCTGTGGTTAAGTGAGGCATTTGTTAAGGGAGTATTACGCCCTGTTTTATGACCTTTCCTGCCACCAGTGTTAAACGAATCACTGCAGTTGTGACACAATTAAATTGTGGCTTCCCCATTAGCTAGGATTGTCCGAAGGCTGCTGCCCTGCCCTTGTCGGAGTCTGACTCCAAGGAGGAAGATGAACAGCCGACAGGGAATGGAAGTGTGGCTCCGTTGTCTGTGGAGTAAACTGGGGAAGGGCAAAGTCCATCTGGGCAGAACAGGGGAGAGGTAGAACAAGGGAGAGGGGGTTCAGAGGAAGACCCAGGCCCACCCCCTCTTCATCCTAGGGCACGCAGGGAGGAACGGAGAAGGGAGCAACGTGGGTTGCGTGGCTTACGGGGGAAGAAAGGGCCCTGATTCCCTTCATTAGCTGCAGCTGGGAAGAGAGTTTAAAAGAAATGCAAGTTGAGAGTGGCGTCTGCTGGAAACAAACGTGAGTTTATCTTTGCTTATCTGCGTTCCTGGCGTCTTCCCAACCGTGTTGAGTTATTGCCATGCCTTCACATCTGGAATTCCTTCCCTTGCCCTGTTGGACTAATTACCTCCTTTTGCCTTGATTGGACTTATAGTTACAGTTGTTTGTTGACCACGTTGTGGACTTGATTCTCTGCAGCCAAAGGCTGTTCCTGGGAGAGTTTTTCTCCAGCCCTGAAGGTAACCAGGTCATTGGGGCCAAAATTGGAGCTAATAAAGGGACTTCTGTTGATTATCTGTGTTGCCTTTGTGCCATACCCCTTTGGGTCATCACACTTCTGGGACACCACAGATATTTTGAGAATTGCTGTCACCCTTTCTAGTGCTTCGTTTGTGTGCAGATGGTGGCTCACACTCCTGAAACCAAACCATGGGT